AGAGAGAGAGAGAGAGAAATTTTTAATATTTATTTTTTAGTTTTAAGTGGACACAACATCTTTATTTTACTTGTATGTGGTGCTGAGGATCAAACCCAGCGCCCTGCGTATGCCAGGCCAGCGCACTACTGCTTGAGCCACACATCCCCAGCCTCATCCCATCCCTTTTTATTTTGAGACAAAATCTTACTAAGTTGCTCAGGCTGGACTCAGACTTGCCATCCTCCTTTCTCAGCTTCCTGAGCCACTGGGATTACAGGCATACACCACACACTTGGCTTTCATATTTCCTTTGTGATAAATCCTAAAACAAATTAGATTTTTCAGCCGTACCTTTTCTGAATTGGCCATGTTGATGCCAAATTCTTCAGATATAAGATAGTTCCTTGAAAAAGGTGCCAGAAAATTTCACTTCTGGTGGAAAATGAAGCTAAATTAAGACTTACCCTTTCTTTTTTCTGTACTAAATAAACAACACTTGATTCAAAAACAATGAATCTTGTAAAAATCATTTCCCACAGTACAGGACCAGCAGGTGAGGGACCCTTGCACACCTGGGAGAGGCAGGTGCAGGGTGCCGGTAGGGCCTGTTTCACAGTGGTGGGCATGTGCGGGCAGCGTTTGGATGTTTATCCTGGTGACTGCTGTTTGCCAGGATATGTGTCAAGTGTGTCTGGAGCCACATGAGACTGCCCTGTGTGGCTCCACCCATGTTGTCCCCCAGCCTTTTCCTGTGACCCTGCACTGTTTAGTTCTGGAGTTCAAGGCCTTATCACTGTGGCCCTGGCAGGTTTCTCCCGTGGTAACTGTCTTCTTGGTGGTCTCCTAGGTTGTGCTGGTGAGGTGGAATGAGCCGTACCAGAAGCTGGCCACGTGCGACGCAGACGGGGGAATATTCGTGTGGATTCAGTACGAAGGCAGGTGGTCTGTGGAACTGGTCAACGACCGCGGGGCTCAGGTGAGTGGGCGGCAGGCCTCCTCCCAGGAGGATGACGCCCAACAACCCCTGGCCAGGGCTGTAGTGCAGAGGCGACAACACTGCGCGGCGCCCAGCTCCTCCTTGAGCAGGCAGAGGAGAAACAACAGAAGCAGAGCTGCACCCTCCGTCCCTTGAGTGAATAGAAGCAGAGCTTTGCCCTCTGTCCCTTGTCCCTTGAGTGAACAGAAGCAGAGCTGTGTCCTCTGTCCCTTGTCCTTTGAGTGAACAGAAGCAGAGCTGTGCCCTCTGTCCCTTGTCCCTTGAGTGAACAGAAGCAGATCTGTGCCCTCTGTCCCTTGAGTGCGCTGCTGCTCATCAGCCACCGCGGGCCTTCCCCGTTGCTCAGGGCTGTGACTGTGCATTAACTTTGGGTCCTCGGAAGAGCACCTGGCACGTTTCTTTTCCTCCCTTTAGAAGGTGTTTTCCCTGCGCTGCCATCTCCACAAGACTGTTTCTCACAACCTACTCCCTAAGCCATGAGTTTGTGACACTCCTCTATGGGGTTTCAGTTAGTGTGGCCACCTGTTGTCGTCTTCCGCCCTTCCTTTCTGGTACAGTTTATCTCCACTCTGAGGAAGAGAGCTGCTCCAGGGATGCCCCACTGAGCCATGCTGTCCCTGAGTACCTGGTGGGTGGCTGCTGGGCCTTCTCCTGTGTTTGAGGACACATGTCTCGGAGATTCACAGCACAGTGATTGGAGAGCCTGGCTCCTCTGGGGATGTTTGTTGACATGGGGCTTCCTGTACTATTTTAACCCTTCCAGAATGAGTTCTCGTGAGCCTTGCTCTACATTTCTAAGGGACAGGATTCCCTCTCCTGCCTCTTCCTTAAATAAGCTATGAGCTTCCATCTGAAGGATATAGCCCACTCAGGTAGCATAAAATTGCAAGAAAGGAAGATTTATTTATTGTCAGTGAGAATTAGCAGGCTAAGGATCATAAGATGCCATCACAGAAGACAAACTTCCCTTTGCCTGAAGACAACATTCTTCTTGTGTGAGTTTCTTTGTTAGTAAGGGTAAAGGTAACAATATTGACTGACTCTAATAAAGCCTTATCAGCTTCCCACCTGCCTTCTTGGAGTGACAAAAGAAGAGGTAGCACCAGCCCTGTGACTACTAACCAGCCTTCCTGAAGGAGAGGTACAAATGTGGGAAATCTCCTGACCCAGAGGCACTCAAGTCACTCTGAGGGTGCGTGTTGTAGTCAAGAGCATGAGCTCTGGAGTCAGCAGAGGCAGGAAATCCCACTGTTGACCTCTGAGTGGAAGTATTTAACATCTCTGTGCCTCAGTTTCCTCACCTGTGACAGAGCAGAGGATCCCTGAGGACTAAATAAGACTCTACGTGAAAAGCACAGTGTATGGCGGCTGTCCCTGCACACTAAGGCAGTGCTTGCACTGATGGTCAGTACTGCTTCCTCACAGCCCCCTAGCATAGAACTCACCTGCCCTGAGACAGTAGCCAGGCGTCATCTCCAAAGACAAATTGCAGGCCTGGAGTTGGAAGCTGTTCATGGATTCCTGTGAAGTGGACAGTTCTCTGAGGTTGCCCATAGAGTCTCTAACCAAAGTAGAGGATGCTTTTCTAAGGCCACATGATGGGGTGAGATGTGTCTTCAGATTTAGGATGACAAGAGCACTTTAAGTGCTTAAGCACTTTAGTGCTTAAAGTCATTCCTTAGGGGAGAAAGGGAAAAGGACACTAGGTCACATGCCAACCAAGTGCTTGGCTTTTTAACGTGTTATTTCCCTTCATCTCCATAGGAACCTTATTCTGAAAATGTTCTTATTCTCAGTTAATAGAAAAGTCCAGATCAAGCAGGTTCAGTAGCTTGCCCACAGAGGCTCGTGGGTGGCGATGCAAGGACTCAGGCCTTGGTGTGAGTCCAGGACACGTCACTGCATAGCTTGTTCCCAGACAAGCGCAGTTTTCTCTTGGCAGAAATGCATATGTCACAGTGTATCCTCAAATGCTCAGGCTTTATTACTGTTTGAAAAACCCACCCCACCAGCCAAGCAGCGCCACCGCCACGTGGTTTTCTCCTGGCGGAAGCCTCTCCTGGTTGGGGATCCCGTCATCTCCATATGGCAGCTGCTGCGTCATCACCGCCACCTGTCATGTCCCTCGTGTTTCTTTCCATGGAGAGTGTGGAGCAGACAGCCATGTCAGAAATAGGAAAGGTGGCATGAGTTCAGCTCTGGAGGCTGATGAGCTGTGAGCAGCTGGCAGCATCCAGAACCTACAAATGCCTTTGCTGTCAGGTTCCTCTGGAGTCACCACTATATCTTGTGACCTGATTCCGATTTCATGAAATTTTGCTGTTTGAAACTTTGTTTCTTCAAAACATTGAGCAGTTTTCACCACTAAACACTGTCATGTTTTGGGAAGGACTGTTTGCTTTTATTTGCTCTGAGTCAGATCTTTTCTGAATAAAAAAGACACCTCACATGGGTTCCAGTGGATCACGGGTGGGGGCACTGGTGGCTCTGCATGCTTGGAAAAGCGTCTGGTGAAAGGAATAGTTCTGCAGCTTGGAGGATGAGCGTTCTTGAAGCCAGCTTAGAGAAGAGTGCCACTTTTCTTCTTTTAGAAGAAATAACAGGTGATCCTCGATACAGAGAGTGTCTCTCACTGTCATGGAGTAAGCAGACACTTGGCTGAAGCTAAATGATGGCCTTAACAATTTCTTTAAGTCCTGTATTTCAAGAAGGGTCTGCAACAGTGGGCACTTTATTGTACCATATTAGTCATTGAAGAAGGTTGTGCCAGGCACATGCACTGAGATAGTCTCTTGAGAAGCTGCCTCAGGCAAACTATTGGTTGGGTTGCTGCTCAGCTTCAGTTATTCCTCGTCTGAGTACTATCTTTAATAAAGTAAAGGCATTGTAACCCTGTGCAATTGAAAAGCAACCAGAAGAAGGGAAGTTTCTTCTATTTTCTCTCCAGCATTCAGTATTTGACTTCACATTATTTTTGGTTTTCACTATTTTGTTTTTCTAGGTGTGATATATTCTTGTTGCTCCGTGCTGCCTAATAAACCCAGTTAATTCATGTGGACATCCTGCATCACCTTATGTGAGATTGCCAATGTTTTTTTTTTTTTAAATAAGATCCCCAAAGTGCAGGAAACCAAAAATAAACAAGTAGAACTATATCAAAGTGAAAAGCTTCTACACAACAAAAGAAACAATCAATATAATATACTCTGCAGAATGGAAGAAAATATTTGTAAACTGTAAATCTGGCAGTGGGTTAATATATGAGTTATTATAATAAGGAACTCAAATAACTCAAAAGAAAATTCCCAGATAATTCAATTAAAAACTGGACAATAGACCTAAGTAGAGACTTCTCAAAAGAAAAGCTACAAATGGCCAGTAGGTATATGAAAAAAAAATGCTCAACATCACTAATCATCAGAAAAACAGTGAGCTGCCACCTCAAGTTAGAATGGCTGTGATTAAAAAGACAGACAGTAAGCACTAGGGGAGGGAGGTGTAAATTCCCACTGTTGGTGGAATGTAAATTAGTGCAGCCATTATGAAAGGGTTTGGAAGTTCCTCAAAAATTAAAAATGAGTAATTTTATGGGTAAGGATTCTCACACACACACACACACACACACACACACACACACACACTGAATACAACAACCGAAAAAGGATGAAATTCTGTCATTTGCAACAACACAGGTGAAACCAGAGAGCGTCATGTTAAGTGAAATAAGTCAGGTACAGAAAGGCAAATGCTGCACCATCTCACTCATATGCAGAATCTACAAAATGTTGGTCTCATAGAAGGTGAAATAGAATGGTCATTACCAGAGGCTGGGGACAGTGGTTGAGAGGGTGAGATGAGGAGAGGTTGGTCAGTGGGTATTAAGTTAGTGTTAGGTAAGAACAAGAAGTTCTGGTGTATTGTTGCACAGTAGGGTAATTATCAGTAATGAGTGTCCTAGATATTTCAAAACAGCTATAAGAAAGGATTTTCATTTTTTCACTACAAAGAAACAATGATTGTTGAAAGAGATGGGTTGCTATAATATCCCTGAGAAGCTTCATTTTCCTGGCCTTGCCTTAGCTCTCTATTAAGATGTTTTTCCTCTTAGTGTACATAGTTAAAATGCCGGTAAGTAATAGCATTATCTTTGCAAAATGAAAGAACTTTTAAATTTTATTGCAGAATATAATGTATGAAACAATTTTTGTTTTAAATTAAGAAAAACTAGGTAGTTCAGGTGATTGGGATATAATTTAAAGGAACCCAAGGTTCTAGATTTAACTGAAGAAATGGGTTTTTTTTGTTTGTTTGTTTGTTTGTTTGTCTTTTTCTTTTTTTTTTTTTTAAAGAACTCTCAGAGCAGTTATTCAAGAGCTACTTAACAAATCATGCCATTGTCATGATAAGAGATATTGCTGGTCACTCATTATAAACCTTTAGCCCCTTTTGCAATTAGTTCATATATTTTTCTTATTTCTTAAAATATGATTCATCTAGTAATGTCACATTGTTTAAAAAACATTGTTTATTTAGTTGTAGTTCGACATAATACCTTTATTTTATTTTTATGTGGTGGTGAGGATTGAATCTAGGGCCTTGCAATGTGCTAGKTGAGCGCTCTACCACTAAGCCACAACCTCAGCCCCATAATGTCACATTTTAAAGAGACTTGAGTAGTTCCAAGTATAAGCAACAGTGACGATCATAGAGTAAGTCTTGTGTTAGAAAAGATTAAAAAGAAACAAAAGTTAGTACAAACTGAAAAAGTAAATTAAGAAAGTACAGTGAGGCAAGCCTGTAATCCTAGTGATTTGGGAAGCTGAAGCAGGAAAATTGCAAGTTCAAGACCAGCCTTGGGAACTTTGTGAGATCCTGTCTTAAAAAATAAAAAGGACTGGAGTATAGCTAGTGGTAAAGTACTCTGGATTCAATCCCTAGTACCACACAGGTGGGTGCGCGCACGCATGTACTCACACAAGAGCCAAATAGAAGTAGAGCACAAATTAGAATAAATACAAATGGACTAAATCAGAAAATAAAGCTTAATGGATTATATTTTTAAAAGCTGGGATCTATGTCTTTCAGAGCCACATGTAGAACTTAAGGACATATACAAATTTAAAGTAAAAGGATGACAAAGATACATCTGGCAAATACCAAGGGAAAAAAATTAAGCTGGTGTAGTTAGATTACTATTAGATAAAATAACTTAAAGACAGAAAATATTACTTTGTTAATAGAGACATCAGATAATGATAAACTGTAGTTTATCAAGATGTTTTTAATATATATACTTTTAATAATACCATCAAAATAGTGGAGGAGACTGGTAGAACTGAAAGGAAAAATTGATCAATCCACTGACATACTCAGATGTGTGTTGGCAGCAATGTGGAGAGCAGGTTGTGCCCTCTCTGAGTTAGTCCGTGGTGTGTAGAACAGCAATTTCCAGGCTCTTCCTGAACCTTAGTCAGTTCATTTTGTAAAGCAGCAGTTTGCCATAAGCAAACTAATTGTGAGTTTTAAGTGCTAAGAAGGAATGACTSTACACCTTGTTTGTACAAGTAAACAACCACCATTTGTCTGGCACACTCATAAGGCATTAACTGATAAACTATTCATGCTAATAAGAATGAACTTATTGAATTAATCAGAAGCACATGGATATATGGGCAAATCAAACTCATATCAGAAAATCCAGGCCCACGAGCTTATGGAACACACCAGACCAGTGAATGATGCAACCCTCGGTCAAGACTCATAAAAGGAGGCACACCCTAAGACTGGACACAGCGGCACCCTGATTCTTTCACCGGGGTCATTGGTCACAAGCCTTGCCCAGGAAAATCACCACCGTGAGGAATCTTTAGCAGAGCGTGGTTTCTCCTGCCCATGATGACCACACAAGTCCCATTCCAAGCTGACGCCCCAAATTGATACTGTGAAACTGCCTCCAGACCTTGGCCTAGAATAAATTCTTGCATTGTGTCCTGAACAAGTTCTTTGACTGGTTTTTAATCTTATCTGACCACCCATAGTGACTCTGCATTCCCATCTGCTCTTTGCCTTTGCTCTCAGGGAGCCTCCGGAACCCCTGTGGCTGCCTTGGCCCTTTCCTTGTCTTTCTGTAACCTATATATATAATTGGGTGAAGTGTGATATGTGACTTGAATATTGTAGATCATAAAAATTAAGACAGGAATAAAAGAACCTGTGATTGCCTCTCCTATGACTACCAGGTGCCCCATGAGTATTCAGTGAATTGCCATTGATGAAAGTACCGGTGAACTGATTATTGTTCGATGAATTCTGACATTGTGGGAAGATGCAAACCTTTTAGTCTATGTTAATGACATAGCACACTCATGACAAACAACCAGCAAAGATACAGAAGATTGGAGMAACACAGTTAACAAACTGGACCTAATAGACATGTGGAGGTCCCAAGTCTATCAGTTAGAACACAGTTTTTCTCACAGGACGTTTAACAATTGACCTGTTCTTGCATAAGAGTCTGTAAACTTTCTATGAAGGGGCAAATATGAATATTTTAGGTTTTGTGGATCAAGAGCCAAAAATCAGGTATTATGTAATGAGAAAACAAATTTTAAAAACTTACTGATGAAATTAAAAAATGTTAAATGTTTGATGTTAAAACTCGAATTTTGGGGGTGGGGCGGTAGCTCAGTGGCAGAGTGCTTGCCTAGCATATGAGAGGCACTGGGTTCAATCCTTAGCACCATATAAAAATTTAAAAAATTTTTTCCTTCAACTATTTTAAATCTGCCGCAGTCCGGCTACAGCAAAATAGCCGGGGAGTGATGAGCAACTTGTGTACATTGATACAGCAGGAGTGGGAGCCGTTTATTGAAGGACAGGAGGGGTATATATACATTTCACACAGCTTACCTTAATTAACATAAACTAGATACAGCAGTCAACCAGTAAGGAATCTCCACACTTAATGGCTCGATGGCTACTTCACAAACCACTCCCTCTGCAAAATGCCAAGTGCCATCTTGACTTGTTTACAGATTCTAACATAAACCATTCTTAGTTTGAGTGGTAGACCAACAGAGCTGACTGGCCAGATTTGCCCATAAGTTGTGGTTTGTCAATCCTTAATTTAGGTTATAAAGTAAATTTCAGTAGACTTCCAGTGGTAGGTACCATGACTATAGATCACAATCCCATGAGTTCATTGAACCTGAGTTAAAACTTAATAACAAAAGAGTTAATAAATTCTTGCATGTTTGAGATTTTAAAAAATGTGTAGTGAAGTAGTTCCTGGGTTAAAAAATACATTTAATGCATGTTTATAAAGTCCTAGATCTGAATGATAATAAAAGCATATATTAAAATTTGTAAGATAGGATTAAAGTGGTAATGTGAGAGAAATGTGTAGCCTTCACCCCCTACCCCCCCCCCGCCCCCTCATGCTGGGGATGGAACCCAGGACCTTGCACATACTAGGCAAGTGCTCTACCAACAAGTTATACCCCAGCCCAGTCTTAACTACTTATACAGCAGAGTCCAAATACCCACAGGTATATAAGAATAGTATAATAATACTGGGTAATCCATAGAAGGAATTTACCACAATAGATCACGAGAGAAAAAACAATGTCATTTGGATAGATTCMGTGCATGCATTTGATAAATTCAGTTGTAAGTAGTGTTTTCCACTTAGATTTCTTTACCTTCATTTTGATCAAGAATAAGGCGGGAGATGTAGCTTAGTGGTAGAATGCCTACCTTGAACCTGTAAGGCCCTGGGTTTGTCCCTAGTACCATAAAAGAGAAAAATTAAAATGTATCCCATTTTGATTGAGAGAATATTATTAGCAAGACTATGAGAGAATATAATCAGAAACTTAGAGCTTTACTATTTTGGTAAATGACCACAGACACTCATGGAGAATCTGTCACCAATCTTAAGGGGAAGGCAATATAACAGCAGTTAAAAGTAAGAACCCTGGAGCCACAGAACCCTGGGCTTCTTGTCAGCTCTGCCACTCTCTTGCAGTGTGGCTGGGGGAAGATCACGTAGCCCCTATGGTTTCCTCTGCAGATGGGGGACAGCACTTTCATGGGCAGTTGGTGTGGGGCTTAATGGGTGAATGTCCACACAGTACATAAAACAGTGCTAACGAGGACCACGCTGCCCCTCACTGCAGTCCCTGGAGCTTTCCTGATGATGCCTTCACTGCGGTTTCTCTTCAGGCCCTCTTGATCTTAGCCAAAAGGCCAAGCTAACCATTCTATGTAGGATTTGGTAAAAGTGTTTCCGCTTTCAGATCACAATTGACCCTTCTTTCTGTGTGTCTGAAGGTGAGTGATTTCACATGGAGCCACGATGGGACTCAAGCACTTATTTCGTATCGAGATGGGTTTGTCCTGGTTGGTTCTGTCAGTGGACAAAGACACTGGTCATCTGAGATCAACCTGGAAAGTCAAATCACATGTGGCATATGGACTCCTGATGACCAACAGGTAATGCCTCTGACTCTGCATGTGTAATGGTAAAACCTTGGGGGCTGAGGAGGAAGAAGGGTGTGGGAGAGAGAGGGAGCTGGTGTGAAAGCCTCTTAAAGATCATCACAGAGGAGAGAACCAACCATCAAGGTAAAAACTAAAACAAAAAGTCTAAATGAAGCATAGATTTCAGGAATGATATTTTCCACCAGTAAGGTAACTGAGTTAACATTTTAGTTTATAAAATATTCAAACAAATTTATCTTAAAATTCATATGAACCAATTAATAAATAATGGATATAAAAAATAATTCACAAGAGGAAGTTCAATTAATAACCATGATAGGAAAATATTCATTCTCTGGGGAAATTTTAAATTAGCACTAGGAGGGTATATTTTTCACCTATTAGTAAAAAATAATAAAATGGGCTGGGAATGTGGCTCAAGTGGTAGCACGCTCGCCTGGCATGCATGTGGCCCGAGTTTGATCCTCAGCACCACATACAAAGATGTTGTGTCCGCTGAGAACTAAAAAATAAATATTAAAAATTCTCTCTCTCTCTCTCTCTCTCTCTCTCTCTCTCTCTCTCTCTCTCTTTTAAAAAATAATAATAATAAAATGACACAGGTGATTTACTGATTATGATAAGAATTATCATAATCTTATTCATTCCTGGTAATAATGTATATTAGACCTTTGGAGAAGCAATTTGGCAGAGTACGTTGAAAGGCTTACAAACTACTATCCACCTTTATAATATGCTTTTGGAACTTATCTAAAAGAAACAAAAATGGACAAAATTACCTAAAATTATAAAGACATATATGGTAGTAAAATTTGTCAACAGCCTTGTCTAAAATAGGAGATGGGGCTGGGGCTGGGGCTGGGGCTGGGGCTGGGGCTCAGCAGTAGCACACTTGCCTGGTGTGTGAGAGGCACTGGGTTTGATTCTCAGCACTGCATATAAATAAATAAAATCAAGGTCTATCAACAACTAAAAAATAAATTAAAAAATAAAATAGAAGAATGATTACATAAACCATGGCATAACCACTTAAAAGAATATACAGTAACTCAATAAATTATAGATAGTGGTTATAAAGATGATATAATAATCTGAAAGAGCTTTTAGGATGCCATGTGGAAAAAAATTAGGATATGCAGCAATCTGTATACGGGGTAAAAATGGGAGTTCATAACCCTTTTGAATCAAACTGTGAAATATATCAAAATAGATGTAATGTTTTGAACTACCAACAATAAAAAAAAAAGAAAAAAAAATTAGGATATGAAATGGCATGTGTGTTATGTTGCCACATCATAAAACAACCAAAAGAAACCCATCCATAAGTTGGAAAGGACGGGACAGAAATGAATCAGAATCCCTCAGTAGTTATTTGGTGGATGTGAATCTCTGGTTCATCTTCTACAACGATGCTTCACTTTTAGTTGTTTTTTCAGTAGTGCTGGGGATTGGACCCAGAGCCTTGCATTTGCTAGGCAAGTGCTGTACCACTGAGCCACATCCCTATTCTGTGGTTCATCTTCCAAACTCTTAATTTCAAAATTGTTTTTATTATGCCTATTTGGTTTTCATGATAGTATATAATAACCTTATAAAATTACATTTTGATAATTCACTCTTAAAATATAAGGATTGACAGGCTAAAACCTTTGTAAATATAAACCTTATGTTTTATGCCAGAAAATTTTCTAAAGAGATTTAAGTTTAGTATTTGTAAAAGCAAGCAATACAATATGGAACTGTAATTTTTGTTTTTGAGCCTCTTTCTTTTTTTTTTTTAACTGAATTGCTTTCCTCTGAGCACCACATATTTATTTCATGTTTCCATTTTTTTAATTAAGAAAGGCAAATATTTTTTTCTTTCCTTAAAATTAGTATTACTAGATTTATGAGAACATATTTTCAACTGCAAGTTCCTTCCCTTGCTCCCTGCCACACACGTGTGTATTCATAGGAAGCCTTTGGATTTATTGTAAAGCTTTACTATCCCTAGAGTATCCTCATAGAGAAGTCCATGAAGTGGCCTTATACAAAGCACCTGACCTTTCTTGCATCAGTTTCCTCCACTGTAAGGACAGGTGTGAATTATTTCCTGCCTCATTCACAGGGCTTTAGTCATGATCAGATGAAGGAACAGATGTGAAAGAACTTAAAAATAGATCAGTGGGAGCCCTGGCTTCCATCCTTCCTCTCACGAGCCCATGTGCCTTCTGCRAGACTCACCTCGTGGTCCCTTGATAGGCTGTGCCAGCCCGTGTCCTCAACAGACTGCACACTTACCTTGTAACAGGTGTGGGTCCCACTGGAGATGCCCCAGTGAGTGAGACATCGCTCCTCCTTTGGAGTGCTTGTGGATCTGTGGAGGAGACAGATGATAAGCATACTGCCATTGTGCCTGGTGGAGGTCCTGCCAGTGGAGCAGACAGACCCTAAGCTATCTAGAGGGTGGGGTATGCCACGTGAATGTAGCATGTGGTAGAGCCTGGGGTATCCATTCTCTCAGGTTAGATTTGAAGCAGTGGACCCTGACCAAAGGAGCCCACAGTGCTGTGGCTGTGGCCATGGGAGCCATGAGGCATGCTGACATGCCTGGCTTGTTCTGTAGTTTGCAGGCATCTGCAAGGGCAGAGCCTGTATGGTGGGGGACAGGGGTGGGGGGGTTCAGGACCAGACCCTCTGCCCTGATGATTGCTGGATTTACACTCAGCAAAATGTTCCACTGTTTTTCAAAAATGGTTTGCAGGGCACAGAAGCATGATGATTCATGGACAAACTTAGCATAGAGAGAAAGTGGTTATTGGATATCCTGGCAGTGATAATAATATTGGGAATCCAACAAGTTAAACAAATTTGCTGAACAAAATTCAACATATAAATTTTGGGGCACATAATTTAGCCCATAACAAACTCATAAAAATTACACCAGAGAACACAAAATTCATAGAAAAAACAATGACATAAACTCAGCTTGATAAACTTAAGGCAAATTTATAAATAGAACAGTATTTGTAGGGCTTGGGGGAAAAACAGAATGGCATAAATAGAAAATGACAAAGAAATAAATATAAATATGATAGGAAAAAATATTTTGTGGCTYCTGCATTGATCCAGAGTAATGCAGCAGAGAAGCCCTTGATTCACAGCCTAGCTTGTATGGACAAGATGTTTCATTTCCTCTACGTTCTCCAGGGGTTGGTAGAAGACCATATCCCTTGATTTATGAAAGGGCTTTGAGATGGAGGTATTTGAAGCTGTCCTTCCAGCACATTTTGGGTCTTAGTGGCCATCTGTGCACTGAAGAATTCTGCTGAGAGCTTGAGATGTAGAAATGGTGACATTCTCCAGCATGTTCCTGGGACGACCATGACTCTCCTCAGAGAGCAGAGACTAACTGGCATGTCTGTGTCCCCTGAGAACAGGACTAAAGGGAAAAGCCTCAAATTCAAATTTCAGGGATTCAGTTCAAATTTAAAAAAAAAATTTATTAGCTGTTCTCAGCGCTCACAGTATGGGAAGAAACTCCTTTGATTCCTGGCGTTCTTGGGAGAGCCCTAAGAAGTTCCTCAGTGCCTTCTGCTATGGGGACAGGGCTCTACAAGAAATGTGCTTGTGACTTTGTCCCTTTCTCATCTCTGGACTCCATTCCTCCCAGAGCTCCTGCATCATGGCACTTACATACTGTGGCTACCTGAACCATTTTTTTTTAAGTAATTTCAGGAGAATTTCAAGGCATTCAAATGCACACATTTAGGAAAGTTAGCAACAGCTGTGTTCTCCCACGGTGGGCGTGGCCTGGTCAGATGGGAGTGCTTGTCTTGCCAGCATGTGTGGCTTCCCTCCCTAGGCAGCACTTCATCCAGCACCCTCAGTTCACCTGTCTTCTGCTCAGGCTTATCTGCGGCTCTCCTAGCCACAGGTGCACAAGTAACCTCATCTCTGGGCTGTGGTCCCCGCTGAGGTCTTCCTAGCAGCCTGGTGCTTCACTGCACTGCCCCTCCTCTGCCTGGCCCTGTGGGCAGTGATTCCCTTGCAGCCCCAGGTGCTATTCTCCAGCAACACCTGCCCTCTCAGCTGGATCTCGCCTCTTCCCAGCCTCCCACCTCTGCCTCCACTGCTTCCTCACTGACACTCCCTCATGCTGTGTCTAGGCTCCAAGCTTGGGCCCCTTCCCTGTTTTCTTTCCTCTGGGCACCTGTTGGAGATATTAATTGGTGAGAAGTGAACTGTCACAGATAACTCACATGGTCAGTGTGTAAATGAAAGAATATTCACTTACTTTTAAAATATAAGGCTGTGACGGAAGTAACAAATTAGAACTCAAGGAAATTTGCTACTTTCCCAAATGTAGTCCAAGTAATAAATGATTCTTAGGGTTTTTAAATTGTATGTATCCTTCTTCTTTAATTGAATAAAATAAATTTCACTAATAATAACATAATTTTTCTTAATTTATGAAAATTTTTAGTATCTCATAAAAAGTAAATAAAGAACCCACATATTTTGCATCACTTTTTAAATACTCCTCCCTTTTTTTCCCTTGCTATTTTCTTATAACAAATCCCAGGCAGTGTTGTCAGATCAGTGTCACAGCCAGGCTGTTCTTCACAGCAGGGAAGGTCCTTAGATGTGGGTTTGCCTGTGGCTCTGGGCACTGTCCATCAAGGAGATGGCTATTCCTCCCGAAGATTTGTTTTGTCTTGCATTGTCAGACAGGAAGGGAATTATAAAGGGAAGATTAAAAAGTAATATAACCCTTTGCTTTCTCAGCTAAAAACAGTTTTATAAACCAAAATAATTTGCTGAGATTTAACACATAGATAATAACTAACACACTAGACCCCCCTTGATAGAAAAAAGTCAAACATGGCAAACCCCCAAGTCAGTCACAGTTCATTATTAGCAGGCAGTTTTTACTGGCTGTAAGAAGACATTTCCCCCTGCTGGCCCTTGAAGGCCACTCCCGCATTTCCAGCCCTGCTCTAGTTCCAGGA